CAAAAAAAAATTTTTTTTTTTTTTTTAACACATTTAAGATAACTTTGCAACTATTGTCTTCAAAATTTTTTTTTAGATTTTTATTTTTAACAATGTTAAACATATCTTTGATAACATTGCTTCCACAAATTTTTGTGAAATAAATTGCTTCCACAAAATTTTGTGATTTATATTTGTTCAATTTGGTTTTTGATCATTCTATGTTCAATAATCTTTCTTAAAGTGTTTTAAGAAAGTTAATGTTTATAAGAACTTTGATTTGCATGTATAAGATTAAAAACAGTCTAAAATAATGGTTTTAACAGAATTTTATTTTTGTATAATTTAAAATTTTAATTAAAAAAGATTAATATATTTTAATGCTAAAATGGTAACAGCAAGTTGTTTAATTAACTTCCAACAGAAAAAAACATCCTGTCATAACATTATATCAATAAAAAAGAAATTTATCAATTTTTCAAAATCATTGTTTTATTTGATATTTGCTAATTCTAAAATGTTAACAGCAAGTTATTTTATTAAATAAGAACTATTTACAGTAACAAAAAACATCCTGTCATTACACTAGTATAGAAGAAATTTGTTACCTATTAAAGTCATCATTAACATTTTTAACATTAACAAATTGATTATAATTAAACTTTGTGAAATGGAAACTTTCTTTTTGTCAAAGTAAGATAAAAGAAATCAATCACTGTTTAGTTTTGTATTACCATGGTGATTGCTTAAGTTGCTTTCATTGAATTAATTACTATTGGTTTCTCATTTTTAAATTAATCTCAAAATGTTTTTAGTGTTACAGTAAGAATGGATTCATGTGATTTTGGAAAAAAATTAAATAATACTTGTCATAAAAGTTATTGTAGAAAGATTGATTTAAAGAAATTTGATTGCTATAGAGAAGATGCCAGAGAAGAATTTATTTGGAGATCTGGAATAACAGATGATAAAATTTTAACAATCTGCCTTCATCATGAAAAGATTTTTGGTACACACTTTGAAAAGAATCACACAAAATGTTGTAATTTATTGGACAAGCATAAATCAAAAAAAAAAAGCAATCAAAGGTAAATATTGTTGATAAAAAATTATTGTAAAATCTTTTTTGAATAATAAAATTAAAATCTACTAGTTTATAAAAGTTTGAAAAAAAGCTGATCTGGTTATGCAATGTATATTGAAATAAGTACAAATAATTTTCATATTCATAGGTAATTACTAAAATCAAATTGTTCTTTTCTTTTCAGGGAGTCATGTAATAACATTAGACATGGCAAAACAATTGAGAATTAATTTTCCAAATGTTGTGCCTGGATATCAACTTTGTCGGAGCTGCTTTGACGCTATAATCAGTAAATTTCATGAACAAGATAATTGTAAATTTGAGGAATCTATTTCATGTGCTACTTCTGAAAAGTCACGAGAGGCATGTTAGTTTGGAAACAATAGGTGTATCCCCCATAAAACTTCATGGCATTCCAAAGCATCAACGGCTATCTGTTGCTAAAAGTAAAGTTATAAAAATAATGTCAAAGTATGAAGAGCATATTTCAAAAGTATATAATGTTAGGGAAGAAGAACTGAAACATAAAATTCCTCATACGAAAATTATTGAGTAAATGTGATGATTTAGACAAACTAACAGAAATAAAAGAAAAGTTAATTGTTTCTGACCAAAAAACTAAAATTCAGTTATTAACATTTACACCCGAGTCTTGGTCAAAAAATTTTGTTGCAAGATATTTCATTTCAACAAGTCTACAAAGGCCCATAAATGACCAGATATTGAATTGTAACAAAATGTTTGACTACTGTACTAACAATATTAAAGGGATTATTTTTTTCAAGATTGAAAAAGAAAGACTGACAGAATTGCGCACCACTTTGAAAACACGTTTTGAGCTAAGTAGAACAATCCCTGGAACTAGGAGCTATCATCAATTTAACCAGAATCTATAGATACTATTAGCTTTAAACGAACAAGTGAAGATGTTCATATAACAGGCATTTTTTCTTTTTCTGGTAATCAAAGTTCTCAAAATGATCAGCAAATTAACATTGATGCCTTGAAATTTGGTGAATTCATTATGTGTAAATATGATGCGTTTGATTGGATTGGTATGATCAATGAAATTGATAATATAGAGCAAGATGTTATGGTAACGTTTATGCACCCGCACGGTCTTTTTAATAAATTTTTTTGGCCATCTAGAGTAGATGAGTGTTGGGTTCCAATTACCAACATAACTTGTATAACTGATGCACCTGTAACAACAAATGGATGTTTGTATACTTTGACTGTATTTGTATTTTATTTTGTAAATAATGAAGTAAAACGGAACAAGCATAAAGCAATAAAATATTTGAATACAATATTTTCAAAATTATCTTAAATTTAAGACAATCCTTGATGATATAAAAAAAAATTTTAGCTAGAAGCTAAAATTTTTTTTTTATATCATCAAGGCCACATGGCTTTCTTGAGCATCAAAATCAGGTATATAAAAAATTGCCTAAATTTATTTAAATTGATAATTACAAGTACTTAAAAATATTTTTTTACATTTCTGATTATTTCATTGGATTCTTCGACCCTGAAAATAGCCAGGTACAAATTTTTAAGTCAAAAGATCAAATATTTTTAAAGCTATGTGACTTGGAACCTTTAAACAAAGGTCACACTTCTGAGGGGACAAGAGGGGCCTGGCCAAGATCACTTAAAAGTAAAATGATTATATTTCATGATCCTCTTGGAGCTAGAAGCTAAAATTTTCAAGGATTTTTTGTTTTACTAAGTACTCTCAACTATATAAAAATCAGCAAAATCTGAGATGTATGGTGACATTTTTAAAATTTTCTGGCTCAATTGACATGGAATTACCCATTAGACAGATTGGAAAAAAAACATTGTATCAAACAATGTTTGTCAGAGAAGATTAAAGTGATTTAGGTATCAGAATGTATAGAGATAGCAGAATGTATCGAGGTTTAACTCAAACATTAACTCAAACATGTGTTATAAATTTACCTAATATATGGTATATTATATTAAATTTACCTAATATATGGTATATTAGGTAAATTTATAACACATGTTTGAGTTAATGAATTTCAAAAGCATGGTTTGCTATGTGGTTTGTTTGTATTTTACTTCACCTAGCAAAATAAAATTAACTTGAAATAGCACAGTATAATTTAACATGTGCAGAAATTCCAGACCTAATTATTAACTGTAAACTTCATGATGTTATTAAAACTTGCATGATTTATGGCCTATGTTGCATATAGAATCCTAATTCTTTATGCATGACAGATGGGGTATGCAGTTATTTATATATAAAAATTATCCTAAAGAGTTTGTCAGCATCAGTTTATAATGGTTATCCACTCTATAGACTTCATAATAAGACAATAATATTGATAACCATTGGGTAGTACCTAACAATCCTTGGTTATCAAAGTAGTATCAAGCCCACATCAATGTTGAAACTTACATGTTTGCAAAGGCTGTTAAATATTTGTATGAAAACATATACAGGAAATTATGCAAACTTTGATAAATGAACAAGTTGACAATGATAAACTAAATACTTTGTTAGATTGTCATTATGTTAGTGTGCCTGAAGCATTGTGGCAAATATTTGAATATCTTATAAGTCATGTTACACTATATTATCTGCATTAAAGTTCATCAAGTGGCTTTGTGCTCATTGTGATACACAACTTACAGCATGGTTTACGTTAAATTTAATTAAATGAAAGAGGGCATTGCTGTTCATACATAAAACTGCTAAGGGCATTGCTGTTCATACATAAAACATACATATTAGAACTGCCATGAGGCAGTTCTAATATGTATGTCAAATTAAATTAGACAGATGTTTTCAATTATTTTGACCTTTTGAGAATCTGATTTTTACGATTTCATTACCCACTCAATCGCACTTACAAACGCTAAACAAGCTACTCTTTGGTTGATTTTAGTTGGTGTCAAAATGATTATTTTGACACCAACTAAAATGGATTAATTGTCAATAAAAAAGTGCTAAAACATCTACCAGTTCAAAACTTATTTAAGTGCTGATCGAATTGAGACTGATGACCTTAATGAATAAAATAACTTTCCTATTGATTATTTGAAGCTTAACGCTTTCAGGTATGCCTCTTCCTGTTCAAAATTGAAAATTAGTTGTGTGACTATATTACTTAAAAACTTAAGTCGTAAAGCAATGGCATTTTAATGAAAGTTTGTACTCTCTAAAAGAAATATATTAACAAAGAAGTATTGACAGGTGGTTCTGGTGGTAAATGTTTATTTGTTTCTCAAATGCAGTTGGCTCCACCAAATTCTAATTTACCTTTTGTTTTAAAATTTTGCAATTTTGTTCATATTATGTATATTTAATGACAACCAATAAAATCAAGGTCAAATATCTGATAGACTAGGTGTATATCTAAAAACAACATGTTTCTCTCATGGTCAACAATATGATAAACTGATAGATCAGAAGTGTAAAAAACCTTGAATTTTCTGAAAACAATTGTTTGACATTTGTCATTTATAATGGAGAGACTAATGATTATGTAAAAAAAAAACAGATTAAATAATTAATAATCTTTAACTTTGTGGTGGTGCACCTCATAGTATCTTGAATTTTGTGGTGGTGCATCACAAAGTATCTTTAACTTTATGGTGGTGCACCAAATAGTATGTTCAACTTTGTGGTGGTGCACCACATAGTATCTTCAATTGTTTTAAAAAAACATATTAAAACAAGTATTGTAAAGTAAATATTGCATGGTTTTGTGGTGGTGCACCACATAATATCTTCAATTGTTTTAAAAAAATGTGTTAAAAAAAGTATTATTATATAATCATTATACAAACATTATACACCTTATTTAAGAAGTTTTTTTACTCTAAAGAGCATAACACAAAGTCTATATACTATTTAGAAAGACTTTTTACTTGAATAAAAATTTCATAAAATAAATCTTACTGTTAATATGCTATTACCATCATTAGTTTTCACTGCTAAATCCAGAAGACTTCTTTTTTCTGACAATGATCTATAACCTTCTAACCAACACGACTTTAAAAAATAAAAAACAAAAATATCAGACTATTATATCTTAAACAATTATAATGTTTTGATAATATTAAAATAATGTTTTGATAATATTAAAAGATTCAACCACTAATCTTGGTAGGTAACCAAGTACCCAGCAACTATAACTATAAATTAAAATTATTGAAGCATTTATTTGTTTATTTTCTCTAAGTATTAAAAAGTAATTTGTTACCTTTCCCTGAATCATTCGCTGTACTGTATCAATCAAAGGGAGTTTTGTCCAACGATCTATTTTTAACAACTATTAAAAATAAACAGCAACTATTAAAAAGATATTTATTAGTTATATTTGTTAGTTTATGAATGTAAAAATACAAAATCTGAAAAAGAAAAGTTTTTACCTCCGCAGATTTTTTTGAACTAGCAAGGTCATCATTGCCTTTTTTTATAAATGTAGATGAATTAGGGGTAATTTCTTTCACAACAGCAGGCGGACTACTAGTTTTTTCTTTTAAAGGTAGAGATGAACTATAATAAACTTTTAAAGACAGAGATGAACTATGGGTAGTTTCCTTCAAAGCTAAAAAAAATTGCTATATAATATATTTTGGACCTCCTTTCTACTTTGTCTAAAAGTTCAATTTTTTGTGTAATTTTTTTCTAAAAGATTTTAAAAAAACTATTTTGTTTTAACTATTCTAAATGATATGTAGTCAATCTTGTGGATGATTTTTTTTACATATCATTTAGACAAGTTTTTAGCCATTAATTTCAAAAACAACATTTTGATAAATAACAATGGATATTTATATACCAGTTACAACTTTTAAAGATTCATTTTTGTCAAAAGATCAACAAAACATGTCTACAGAAAGGAAAGCATTAAGATCAGATTTGAAAGACTTTTCCTTTCATGTGAAACATTCAAAATTGCCTCAGTGTTTTAGTCAGATAGAGCTGAATGACTTAGTATTATTTAGGACATGCTAAACAAGCAGCAGAAATAATAACTTTCTTGATTAAAAGAAAATAACTTTTTGACAGCTTTGTAAAGGTTTCCTACTTTAAAACAAGAGATAAAACATTTTTAAACTTTTTTTCAGAATTCCATTCATTTAATTTCTGTAATGGTATTTCAGGTCTGCTATTACAGTTTGGTATTTCTGTATATAATCTAACGGAAAATGTTTATTGATAGCTCAGAGCAAAGCCCTTTTGCCCTTTTACACAATGGTAATATTTTTAATTCTATACCAATCATCTATTCTTATTATTTGCAAGAGAATTACCATAACACTAAAACGGTGTTTAACTTGATTAAATGGTGTTTAACTAAATATTCAGAATACAACTGGATTACTTGTTAAGACCTAAAAAATGGTAAACTTTCTCCTTGGTCAGTAAGAAAGATTTTAATAAATTTCTATGCTATCTCTGCATTAGGGATAGGTAAGCAAGAAAGCAACACTGGAGTCAAAAATGATTTTCAACACTCTCATAGTAGCTACATCAAATATTATGAACGAACCCATAATTAGAAAAAATGAAACAGGTTTATCACAACTCAGGTTTGGCCAGGAATGCGTGCGATTTCACGTCATAATATAACCACACAAATACTATTTGATTTTGAAAACTTGAACACAGCTTAGTAAACGACCGGGGTTGATATTTGACTGGGGCCGGGGCCGGGTTTGATAAAATATAGCCAGGGCCAGCACTGGAGCCGGGTTTGTGACCGGGGCTGCATGAACATTTATACATGCTAAAGTATATTTTTTAAATTTAAAATTCATGTTATATTTTGTATATATATATATATATATATATGCATATACAAAATTATATAAATTATATAATATTATACTTTTTATATAATATAATTTATATAATTATACAAAATTAAATCATTATAATCATTATGATCATTATACATGATCATCATAATCATCATTATTATCATCATTATCATCTTCATTATCATCACCATCATCACCATTTTTTTAATCTGTCTAAGATTATGCCTCCTTTTCTTGTCTGGCTAGAGTCACACCACATATCCATCTGATCAGCTTCTCTCTCGGAAAATACTACACCATATGCCAGCATCTAAATAAATAGCAAACAGATATGTTTATACCCATAATATGTATGCAAAAAGTGCATCTTGGAAGCTTTTATTCCTTCTGGAATAAAACTTTAGAAGTTTTTAAAACTTCTATTCAATTTTAAGTCAAGCCTCATTTTGCTCCACATTTTTCAACATTAATTATTTTTTTCATCTTTTTTACAAGAACATCTCTTCTAAGAACAAATACCCTTTTATTATTACAATAAGCTAATGTAAAAAAGTCCTGTTTGATGTTAAGCTCTGTTATTCTCATTTTACTAAATCTTGTACTTTATCTCAGATGTTAGGTTCTAGAGATATTTGGTTAGTTTTTAACAGTTTCATTAACTAAAGCAAGTCTAAAATTTATTCTCTAATTAATGGATCTAATCTTTTTACATCTCCCCAGAATAAAGCAGAGTTATTTTCAAAAAAATCTTACTCAAACTTGACTCTTGAATATAATGACCATACTCTTCCTGACAGTTAAACAAATTAACCTAATGTCATAGTCATAAAAAAGTGTTCTCCAGGACTCTCTTCAATTATTGCTAAACTTTTAAAAAGTGCTAAATAAGTGGTTTTAATTTTTCAAAACTCTAGTAAACACTTTAACCTCTCTAACTATCATACAATTAGTCTTCATCCTGTTATTAGTGTTTCCATATAAAGGTTTTAATGTTATTAAATTATTTCTTTCTGACTGTAGTGGTAAAGTTATTCTTGAAGGCCTACACTCTTCTTTATTTTAAGTAACTTTAGGGGCACCACAAGGTTCTACTTTTGCTCCTGTATTATTTCTTATCTACAATAACGATCTTAATGAAATCTAAAGTGGCTCTATTTGCTGGCGAAAAAAAACCTTCACTTTTTAATTGTTTAGAACTAGCAGCTAATTTTAAATCTGATCTCTCTTCTGTAACAGCATAAGGCTTATGGATTTAAATTCTGGACTTAAAATCCACAATTTTTGTTAGACAACAAAACTCATTTATTTACTGCAAAAAAATATTGCAATATTGTTGGCATTCCTGTATTGACAAATAACAACCCTCTCACTCTCAAACAAAGTCTAAAAGCACATTGTAAATGTACTTAGACCTGGTTTCTCTGCCAAGCTTGAGCCACTCTCCCATTGTTATAAGGTTGCATTTCTTTCTTTTTTCTACAAATACAATCATGGTCAATTCTCAAACAAGCTATTATTTCTATAAGGATAAACCAAAACTCATTCTTGCTTGGCTACTTATTTAACAAGTTGCATCCTTTTACTGTGTTTGTCTCTTCATGCTATAAAAACGTTTTGTAGCATGATAATTAATCCAGTTTTTTTCCCTTGAAAATCAAGAAAACCTTATAACTCTTACCCAACTTCATGTTTTCCTTTTTTGAACAACTTACAAATTTTTATGTTTTCAGTTATATGTTTCCTAGTATTTTAACTGATTCTCTATTTTAAAGTAACTCATAACTTAATAGTGGTTGTTTGCAATCTTGTCGGAAGTAAATAAGAGTTTAATAATATATAAATATATGGCAGTATTTAATAAATAGTAAATGTAAGCATAAAATTATAATATATTAAGTATTATAAATTTTTTTCTAGCCCTGGCTATCAACCCCTGCTAAATATTATAATTTTGCCAGGGCCAGGGTTGCAAAAAGTTTCATTTTTAGCCAGAGCTGGGGCCCCAATTACTACCACAGCTGGTAATAACTTTAAAAAATACGCTAAAGTATTATCTTAACTATGAAGTAACTTAAAAAAAAAACTTATTGTAAAAGAAGCAAATAAATCTTCTCAAGAAAATAATGAAAAATGAAATAACTTAACTAAAAGATAAAAAAAATAAAAATAAAACTTGACTAAAATGAATAGTAAACTATAATGATTATCTAAATTATGTTTGGAATAAATAATTTTAAATCATTTATCTTTACTAATACTTTTGTAATACAATATTATGCAAAGTCCTTTTTAAATAAAGTAACAACTTACTTCTGATGATTGTTTAATAAATACGCACATTTAAAATTAAAATTTTTCTCAGTAACATAAACAAAAAAAATAAAATCGTTTATTTACAAAAAATTTTAAATCTAAAGACATAAAAAATACATGCTTATATAAATATAAAAAAGATATATATTATTCATTAATATTTTTATAATAAATCGTTAGTAGTGATTTGTTAGTTTATTTAATAATAATGAAGTAACAAATAATGAGTTTTAAAAAACATAAGTAAAGATCAAAACTGTTTAATTCAAACGGCATTCAAAAAAGTTTGTCCTTTTTTTTTCCTTCTCAACAAAATATTTCTTGTTTTTGAGTGAATTAATTTTAATGATTCTTATATAAAGTTTATTAACGAGACCATCGCTGTTCAAAGTTATCGCTTATAAAATTAAAATTTTTTTTATAATTTTTTCTTTTTTTAATTTACTTATAAAAAAATCTTATATAATTAAATAATATAAAGAAAAATTTATACAACTTTTAATTATACTTTTATTAAAATTACTTTATTTAAAAGCGTTTTGCTAATATAAAAATGTTAATAAAGATAAATGTGTGGAAGATATTTATTTTCAACGTAATTAAAAACTAATTTTTTCCACACATTTGTTTAAAACCGCAGTTAAATCATCAAAACAAAATATTATTTGCATGGTCATATAAAGATTTGAAATCGCACACCTTCCTGGCCAAGTCTGCAACTCCATTTTAAACATGGTTCATGAAACAGTTTATTAAAGCACTGAGAACTGGTACTGTTTGCTTTCAGCATATAGTTAAAACTGTCATTAGAGCAAGAGTTTCGATGGGCCACAAATTTGCTACATTATAAATGATAAAGAATTTGTTAAAACAATGGATAGCACGAATAAAACAGCTTGTAGATGTAGTTGAAACTTTCTTAGAATTGATAAAGCTGAAAACTATGCAGATTTTGTTGATTGAAATAAGGGATCTTTAAGTGCCAAGACAAGTTGTGTTCATATTAAAGAAAATGTTTAAAAAAAACATTGATTTGTTTGTTATACATTATTGAAATGTTTAAAAATTATTGTTTTAGACAAAACTCGCCTTGTACATTTTTTTGTTGGTTCTTGATCTTTATAATATACGTCGCAACCTGCATAATGCATTTATTTAAAGCGCATTTAGTTCATAGCAGTTTAGTATATGATGTCATTGTAGATTTTTTTTAAGATACCAAGGTATTTTATTTTGCCACCTCAATTTGTACAACTTTTTATTAAATCCCAAAAAAATTTTGTGATGCAACTAAAAATAAAATAACATATTTGGTTTTAAGGTTTCAGTAGTGAAACTTGTTTTTAACAATTGTAAGTATAAATCTTTACCTAGATTATATTAAATCTTTATTCAAGTATATAATGTAGTATAACTATAAATAAACAACAATATTAGTTGAAAGACAAAAAACTACTTTGAATAAAAC